CCTTAATATTTCACTTCTGTTGCTTTGGGTTTACTTAAGAATGACAATGTTTAAATGTTAAAATGTTTTCCAGGTCTTCCCCCAGAAATACAAACAAAGATACTTCTCTGCTGGTCGAGAAATATATGTAATTGTCCTTTGTGTCTATGGTACTAACTCGAAGGTATTGGATTCCCCTCCCCTCCAACCCAATTCTGTATTTCTTAAGGATGCTGACCTTGGAACCATTAGTAGAGACTCAGCAGTTTACTCTTTCATCAATAATGCACTCACTCTGAAGTGGCAGGCTGGAAGCTGTGGCCCAGCTCTGCATGGGTACTTATAGTTCATGCCAGTAAATGTTTCTGTTGAATTGGTCAGGAGCTGCGAGCCTGATCCCTTTTCAAATTGGTGGTGAGAGCAATGAGTCAGCAATGTTTGTAAACTTCAGGAGAGGACAGAGCATTGATAAACTCCTTTGGCGCTGGTTATTTCATGAGTATGGAGTATTTCATGAGTATGAGCTATGGAAAAACCTGTATGTTCGTTTTTAGCTCTGTAAACCTCAAGAACTGTTACTGCCTTGCCAAGCTGTATCAGTGCATTGGCACCCAGAGGAAGAGAGAACTTTCTGCCTGTCTTGAAATAAATGAGGCATCATCCCAGGCTTGTGTTGGGCTGGCCTTTGCTGTGGTTTTACAGTTGATGTTCCAGAACTACTTAGAAAGCTCTTTTTAGACGGGAATGTGGGTTGCATTCTGGTAGTGTGGCCTGTGATCAGAGGTGTGGTTCCCATGTTGCCGGCCTATGACACTGTGGCTCCTGGTTTCTTTCTCTAATAAGGTGAGAAAGAGTGACATTGTGCAGAGCAAATGAATTCAGTGTCGATGTCTTACCCGGCGAGTGTCGCTATGGAAAAACCTGTTTGAAAACTGGTTTTTCCCATGCAAATTCATCAGTTTTATATTTCATTATTTTTCCTTTTGTCCTTTTTAGGACCAGTTTCAAATGCAGGCAGAGTTCCCCTTTCTGACTGTGTTCCTTCAGCAGCCTCCATGATTTCATCCTTCCTGCTCGGGCCTCTGTCACCAAAAACACAGGACGCTTATTTTTGAATTTGCCCCGAATTTTTTCTGGCAAGAGTTTCTTGATAGCAAATCCTTCTTTTAAATACTAGAAAGTATAAGGAAACATTCTCTTTTCACAGCCAGTGGTTTAAAGAAGAAAAGTCTTTTTTTTAAAGTAGACTAGTGAGCTTTTAGTGTTAAATGTCTTTTGACATTTTTGCCAGAAGAAACATTGATTTTTCTCTCACTTTCTCTTTTTCAGGGCCTGCTTTCTTTCCCGGGCGATGTGCAGAGATCTTTGCCGGGGGTCAAAGCATCGGGAAGCTTGGGGTCCTTCATCCTGACGTTATCACCAAATTTGAGCTGACCATGCCCTGCTCCTCCCTGGAAATCAATATTGAACCGTTTTTGTGAAGATTGGTCTCTGTTGTATGATTCTCTTCCCAAGTGTCCCTTTCATCTCCCCTGGTGTCCATTAGTCCTCCACAGGGAATATCCATTGGGCTTTAATGTTTAATAAAGTAGAAAGCACTGTCTGTTTCTGTGGGTAGAATCCACCCTTTCCCTGCATTAGGCCAGCATGTGCAATATACAGATGTGGTGTCTGTGTGTGAAGCTGCATTGTTGGGTAGAAGCCCAGTGGAGTGCTGAAGAAATGCACTAGCAGAGTGCAGGGTAAGTTCTGAAAGTCGATGTGCTCCTCAGACATCAGAGCACTGCACTGTAACGGATTACTCCTGCATAGCAAGTTCCCATTCTTTTCCTTATTGGTAAAACAAGATTATTGATGAGAGTTTATGTTGCATGAATTTGAGATAACTGAGGTTCGGCTTTGATTTTCTACATTTGACATGTATTCATCATTGAGAAATACTAAAATAACAGTATTTTTAGAAAACGTTTAAGAATCTGTTATGGTCCAACAGTTATAGCTTCTGAGGTCAGTTTAAAATGAAAGAAAAATCTGTAATACAAGTATTCAAAATATCTGAGGGTACATAGTATTTTTTACTCTATCTGTGATGCTCTGAGATAGAGTACATGCAACAAAGATCTGTTCTGCTATAAGAGGTAAAATGGGCCAGGGACGGTGGCTCACGCCTGTAATCACAGCACTTTGGGAGGCTGAGGCAGGTGGATCATCTGAGGTCGGGAGTTCGAGACCAGCCTGAACAACATGGAGAAACCCCGTCTCTACTAAAAATACAAAAATTAGCCAGGCCTGGTGGTGCATACTTATAATCCCAGCTACTCAGGAGGCTGAGGCAGGAGAATCGCTTGAACCCCCAGGAGGCAGAGGTTATGGTGAGCCGAGATCGCGCTGTTGCACTTCAGCCTGGGCAACAAGAGCAAAACTCCGTCTCAAAAAACAAAAGTTAAAATGGAGAAGTATTGATATCAGTGCAGTATGAACATTAGGAAACAATGAGAAGCTTATTTTTACTGTAGGCCATGCATGTTACTATATTCAGTCAGTTATAAAATCAGTTTTAAATACTTAATTGAGCTACAAGTTTCTGTCTTGTTTTGTAGGGAGATACTAGACCTCTCTTTTTTCTGAAGCTAAGCTTCAGCCAGTCCTCCTTGTTTTATATCCTAATTTCCTTTTTTACTTCAATCTAGAATTCTCTAGTAGGTACCATCTCTGGAAAAAGCTGGGTCTAGAGAAGTTCCCAAGTAGTATTGAAATAATAAGAAATATGATAAAATATAATATTTTAAAGTCTCAGTAGAAAGAGCTAACAAAAGCCAGGTGCATGGTGGCCCATACCTGTAATCCTAGCACTTTGGGAGGATGAGGCGGGCAGATCACTTGAGGCCAGGAGTTCGAAATCAGCCTGGCCAACATGGTGAAATGCTATCTCTACTAAAAATACAAAAATTAGCCAGGCATGATGGTGTGGGCCTATAGTCCCAGCTACTTGGGAAGCTGAAGCAGGAGAATCTCTGGAACTGGGGCGTGGAGGTTGCAGTGAGCTGAGATTTCGCCACTACACTCCAACCTGGGCAACAGAGTGAGATTCTACCAAAAAAAAAAAAAAAAAAAAAGCTAACAAACGTAGTGAAATAAGAATTATGTTCTTGGATCTTTCGCTGAGCCTACTACTGGGAGCAAACCCAACCATATCAAAACCATGAATCGAGGCAGTAGTGTCCTAACTTTGTAAGATTTGTGAACACAGACTTCCATCTGACCTTTCATAGCTCTGCTGTAAGCAGTCCCTTACAATACTTTAAAAATGAAATGAAATATGCCCTCTAAAAATGATGCATGTCAAAAGGACTTTATCCAGCATGCATAAATATTTCTTAAAAATAATAAAACAACTTTTTTTAAATGAGCAAAAGAGTTGAACAAACATTTCCCAAAAGATATATGAATGGCCAATGAGCATGTGAAAAGATGCTCAACATCATTAGTCACCGGGGAAATGCAAATAAAATCCACAATGATAAACTGCATACCCATTAAAATGGCCAAAAGTTAAATGATTTATAATCAGATGTTGGTGAGACTGGAGCAAGTGGAACTTCCATGCACTGCTGGTGAGTCTTTGTGTAAAATGCTACATACATTGTCACTTTAGAAAACGGCTTGGCAGTGTCTTGAAACATACACCTACCACCAACCATTCTATTTCTAGGTTTACCCATATGGCCAAAGATTTTTATGCAAGTGTTCACAGTGTTACTTTTAGTAGTTACAAATTGCAGTATATCCATACTATGGAATACTTCTCAGCAATAAGAAGGAATGAACCACTGATCCTCAAAACAACATGAATGAATTTAAAAGCAGTATGCTAAGTGAAAGCAAGAGACACAAAAGACTCTATTTCATTCTATTTGTATGAAACTCCAGAAAAGTCAAAAGCAGATTGGTTGGCAGAGGCCCAGGAAAGAAAACTGCAGGGGTTAAGAGGTAACTTTGGGGTGACTGAAATTTTCTATAACTTAATTGAGGTGGTAGGTGTACTTCAGGTATAGGTTATACCTTAGTAAAGCTGGGAGAAAAAGAATAGAATGTAATATATTTTAATAATTTAACTACATAACACTAGCTGGTAAATGTATAGAGAAATAGCATGAACTGTAGAATTGGCATTTCTATTCAAGATAGCTCACTGGTCCACGACTATTAATGATATATTCTCCCTTAGTTTCAGGTTCGCTCTAGTTAAAATCATGGTGTATGGATCATCATAGCCATTGTTGAAATAGGTGGAACCATTCATTCTGTCAGCAGCTACCCACCTGGATATTTTTTGGGGTAGCCAAAATTACTTGTAATGAAAAACCCACTAATGCCTAATTGTATATCCCAGCATGAAAGGGGAACGATCAACTCCATGCATGATGTAGATGTTTCTGCCCTCAGAAGCAGGAAACGGTAGGAAGAAAAACGGTGTCGGCCACGTTGGAGGAAGTGAACCTTCAGCTTATGAGTCAAGGCTCTGCAGCCAGATCATCTTATACCTGTTCCTGGTGAAGCATTTGAACTGGAGCCTGGACAGTCTGAGTACTGCTGAAAGCCTTCATTAGAGAAGATGCACACCTTCTTGGTAAAAACTGGGAGCTCTAGTATTAAAGTGAAAATTAAATGTAATTGATTTGTAGTCTAGCTTACAGAAAACTTAAATTCCACTACTACAGCCTCATAGTCCTGCAGTGCTCTTCTGGTTTTATGTTTGTTGTTGATAGTGGTTTTTTTAGACAGAATCTTGCTCTGTCACCCAGGCTGGAGTGTAATGGTGCAATCTCGGCTCACTGCAACCTCCATCTCCCAGGCTCAAGAAATTCTCCTGCCTCAGCCTCCCGGGTGGTTGAGACTACAGACTAGTTTTTGTGTTTTTAGTAGAGACGGGGTTTCACCATGTTGGCCAGGGTGATCTCAAACTTCTGACCTCAGGCGATCTGCCCGCCTTGGCCTCCCAAAGGGCTGGGATTACAGGCGTGTGTGCCACCTCGCCCAGCCTACTCATCTGTTTTTAAAGTATTTTTGAATTGATCTTGTTTCACATTTTCATTGTTTTGGTTTAATAATAGTGTGAGAATAGGAATTCTCCCTGATGGACAGGGTGAAAGCAGTTGAACTTCAGAGAGGTCAGTAACTTACTCAGAAGTCACATAACCAATAAATGAGTTTGAGACACTATTTAAGAGTGACTTGGAGTCCACAGCCCACTCACTGGTTTGCATTATTTACTTATTTATGCAAAAGTAAATGATGATACTATTTAAAAAATATAAAAATCATGGAAAACAAAAAGTTAAACCTTGTTAAGTCCACTACTTTTAAAAACTAGGCAAATAGGCCTTCCCAAGCTAATCTACCTTTCTTCCTGATAATTCCCTGAAGTAACTAACCGCTGTTAACAGTGTAGCCTGTACTGTTTCCTTAGTTTGGGCATTTTCCTTGATTTGTACAGTCAGTCACATACACCTGCTCACATTTTGGGGGGTCATGCTCTCCTTGTTTGCGACAAGTTTTTTTATTTTACATATATCTCATGACATTTCACTTAATATGTCCCATTTTTTCAGGTCAGTGCCTAGAGACCTGTCTCAGTCTTTTAAATGAGGTAGTATTCTATTGTACAGATGTCCATAATGATTCAATTTTTCCCCATTGGTAGACATTCAGTTGTTTCCAACTTTTTGCAGTTATAAACACTGCTCCAATTAACATCCACCCTGCAAAATAGTGCTGGCTTAGGGCCCAAGGAAAACCAGTACTAATAGGTGCAAAACTGTATAAATATCCACATTTGACACACACATGCAGAAATGCATAGAGGTAATTAGATTTCTTTGATGTGATGTTTGCACTTGAATGATGTATTAGTCCAGTACCTTACATCTTAGATGTAGGAGTCACTAGGTCAAAGGGTGCGTTTTGAATTTAAAATATGTTGGATGACTATGCTCACATTTTAAACAGGAGTAATCTATTAGAAACCAGCCAGCCTAACCACTGCCCCAGCTCTGAGCAGTGATGGGCTCATCAGCTTGGTAAGAGAGAACATTACTCAAAATTTTGCTTTTCAATCTTAATCTGTTTGTGCTGGGTGTTTTGTATGACATCACTAACCCTAATACTTGAGTATTGACTTTGGCCCTTCTGTCCATTTTATCCAAAAACAGACAGCCTTTAAGGGACACAATTGCCTTAAGCAGAATGTGCCTCCTAAGCAACTAAAGCCTTTGACCCAGGTTCTGGCTTACTGTGTTATTAGGACATTGAATAACTTTATATATATTATTATGGACTAAATGTATCCCCACAAACTCATGCTGACCCTCTTACCTCCAACGCGATGCTCTTTGGAGATGAGGCCTCTCGGGGGTGATTAGAACTAGATGACGTCATGAGAGGGGGGCCCTCATGATGGACTCAGTGCCCTGTTAAGAAGAAACACCAGAAAGCTTGCTCTCTTTCTCTGCCTACCTGGTGCACACATACAGAAGAGGTGATGTGAGCACATAGCAACATGGTGCTCACCAGCAAGCTAAGAGGCGTCAGAATGTAACCTATTTT